TTCTTCTTTCTTCTTCTCTTCTTCTTCTTCTTCTTCTTTTTTTTGAATAAAGGTGGGTGTGACTATGTTACTCATGCTGGCTTCAAATTCCTGACCTGGGTTCAAGTGATTTTCCCATCTCAGCCTTCTGAGTAGCTGGGACTACAAGCATGTTCCACCTTGCCTGGCTCTATCTTATGTCTATACATTCATTTCAATGGATAAGAATAAAAGTAAAAGTAGTGAAAGAGCCTAAATGCAGCAGTTGCGTAAATGAGTTGATAAATTTTAATAAATGATTTCATCTTTTTTCTTTTCTCCCTCTATACATATAGCTTTGGATTTTAACCCTTCTGCCAATCCAGAGGCAACCACAATATTCCAGAGGAACTCTCAGACAGATGGTGAGGCAACACTGTTTTTTCTACCAAGAGAAAGAGTAAAAACTCTTGTTTGATCAGGTGTATTATAGGAAGTATTTAGAAAAACTCATATTGGTTTAAATTTTTCAACTTTTCACATATTCACTTGTCTTATTTTAACGTGATATATTTTCCTTTAGTTATCTTGTTAGTGAAAACATCTAAACTTTTTGTTTATACATTTTTGCCATCTTTTTATCAACATAATTAATTTGTCATGTGATGGAGGAGTCATGGATTTCTCTTTATTCATAATTTTTGGCCCCTTTTCCCTTGCTCCAAAGAGTACATTTTAAAGATGAATGATAGAACTTAGGCTTCAGCTTGGTTTTCTTGTAAACAAATTACAAACATAGTTGTTTATTATCTGGAATTGAATCTGTGATTTGGGTCTCCTCTCACACAGTCCTCTGACCACATTCATTTACCACATCCAAGTTTATGCTACTCAAAACTTTTAAGTTATTAACCCTTTCATTTGATGTAATGTCAATTTAAACATGCCCTACTCCTGCTTATTTTCCTTAAAGTTATCGTTAAATCCTCATGTATTTGCTAAAAAGCCATGCACAAGCAAGTTTTCCAGTTGACTTAAACAGCAAGAATACAAGCGAGGGTTCTATAATAATATGCGAAGTAATGCAGCACAGTAGAACATGGGAGTTTGTAACCTTTGTTTTTATAGTTTGAGTAGACTTTGCCCATCTTGAGTCAGTTATTTTTGATTAGAATTTGTGTTCATTTTTTACATTACTATAAAGAGATACCTAAGGCTGGGTAATTTATAACAAAAAGAGGTTTAATTGGCTCGTAGATCTTCAGGCTGTACAAACGTGGCTTCAACCTCTGCTTCTGGAGAGGGCCTCAGCAAGCTTACAATCATGATAGAAGGCAGAGGGGAAGCAGGTTTTTCCACATGGTAAAGAGGGAGGAGAGAGGGGAAGAGGGAAGGTACCACACTCTTTTTTTTTTTTGAAATGGAGTCTCGCTCTGTTGCCCGGGCGGGAGTGCAATGGAGTGATCTTGGCTCACTACAACCTCTATCTCCCAGGTTCAAGCAGTTCTCTGGCCTCAGCCTCCCGAGTAGTTGGGACTATAGGCGGGCACCATAACACCTGGCTAATTTTTGTATTTTTGGTAGAGACGGGGTTTCACCATGGTGGCCAAGGCTGGTCTCAAACTCCTGACCTCAGGTGATCCGCCCGCTTCAGCTTCCCAAAGTGTTGGGATTACAGGCTTGAGCCACCTCACCTGGCCAGTACCACACTCTTTTAAACTACCAAAAGGAGAATTTGCTTATTACCATGAGGGTGGGACCAAGCCATTCATTGGGAATCCCCCGACATTACCCAAACACCTCCCACTAGGCCCTGTCTCCAAAATTAAGGGTCACATGTTACCATGAGATTTGGAGGGGAACATATCCAACACATATCAGAATTGTATTTCCCAGCTCCTTCCAGAGCCATTGGCTTCTCTCACCTAGAGAGCATGGAAGCAGTAAAAGAAAAGCTATTCCATGTTCCTCACCCTTCAGTGGTAGGAACTTTTGCCTACAAGGCCCTTCCAGCATCAAAGGCAGAGGCAGTGTAGGAAACAAAGCATGGCCCAAGTCCTTCTTGGGGCTTTTATTATTCTGGCCTTTTTTTAGAAAAACAAAAATGATTTTTTTGTGCTGCAGACACTATGTCCAATTAGGTTTGTATACTCATTTTACAATTAAAATTTACGAAAGGTTCTGTGGCTTACACCTGTAATCCCAGCTCTTTGGGAGGCCGAAGTGGGTGGATCATGAGGTTAGGAGATCAAGACCATCCTGGCTAATGCAGTGTAACCTCATCTCTATTAAAAATAAAAAAACAAAAATTAGCTAGGCGTGGTCGCGTGTGCCTGTAGTCCCAGCTAGTCGGGAGGCTAAGGCTGGAGAATTGCTTGAGCCTGGGAAGCAGAGGTTGCAGTGAGCTGAGATCCCACCACTGCACTCCAGCCTAGGTTACAGAGTGAGACTCCATTTTAAAAAAAAAAAAAAAAAAAATTAGGATACATTACTTTTGAGTTGTGTAAAGACCCCTTTTTTGTTTTGTTTTGTTTTTAGTGGCATATTAGTAGGTAACCACTAAGTGTGGTTCAAGATGCTTACAGGGATTCTGTTGCATCTAGAGATAGGTGCCTGGTCAGGAAGTAGTTCTTAGAGCTGTTAGCTCTTAGCTTCTGATAATTAAAGTAAGCTATGTGTAAATACCGAGTGAGAGAATACTAATGGATCATGGATTATATATGCAACAGTTAAACTTTTTTATTAGCTAAGATTTTCATCTGGCCTAATTTTTTTGCCCTTTTCTTTTGTATGTGAGGATTCCTTCATTTGTATGTAATAGAAACAAAAGGTAAAGTAGATGAAAGCTAAAATTTTAGATTTGACTTTATGACATTAATTGTGCCAGATAATTTAAATTACAAATTATTGAAAATAGTTTCTTTAAATGTAATTTTGTCTCATTTTACATAGGAGTAATCACTAAGATGTTAACAACTACTTTTATTTGATGGTATTTGTGTCAGAAGTGACCAGTTTGTTTTTTTTTATTCTTAGTTGTAGAAATAAGAAGAAGCAATTGTACAAACCATGTAAGTAAACAGTCAGATAGTTAAGAAATGGATAGTTTGACATAAAAGTTGTCTTTCTTGATTTCTTTAAATTACAATGTGGACCCAGTGGTGGTAGTATGGACCTCTTTTTGTGGATTTTCTAAATCTCTTCTATTTTCCTAAGTATTAAATTTATCTAGAAAAGTCTTTAGTTTAGTGTGTCCACCTTTTAAGGATGTCTGATATTTAAGTTACATTTCAATAGTCTGGTTGTGGTAAAAAGATCTGCGTTAAGGCTGGGCATGGTAGCTCATGCCTGTAATCCCAGCACTTTAGGAGGCCAAGGTGGATGGATCATCTGAGGTCAGGAGTTCGAGACAACCGTGACCAACATGGTGAAATTCTGTCTCTACCAAAAATACAAAATTAGCCAGGTGTGTTGGCGCATGCCTGTAATCTCAGCTACTCAGGAGGCTGAGGCAGGAGAATCACTTGAACCTGGGAGGCGGAGGTTGCAGTGAGCCGAGATGGTGCCATTGCGCTCCAGCCTGGGCGAGAGAGTGAAACTCTGTCTCAAAACAAAACAAAACAAAACAAAACAAAAAAAACTGCCTTAAATATTTAATCTTATTTTTAATGAAATAACAAAAATAGAATAAGTTAATGCCAGCACTGTCTACTGACTTTCTGTCACAGCAGGTGAAAGCATACCTTCCTCGCTACACCATGATCTTATGTTCCTCCCTCTGTTTCTTCCAATTGTAGCACACTTTTTCATTAAATCAATAATATTTACATGATTATGACTCTGCAAATATTACTCACTGCTAAGTCATATG